CGCTGGACTGATCGATATAAAAAGACTAACAATAAGATGGAAAGGATAAAGATTACATGCGCAGAATTCAGATTGTGAGACAGGAATTTCATGTGCTACTTGTTAATTTAATCTAGATAGTTCTACATACAATCAGCAATCGGGCGTCAGAAGAATAAAATATTATTTGATGGACATGATAAAGAAAAAGAAAATTCTTAATTTTCAAATCGTAAAAGTTATACTTTTCAGGAACGACTCTCGGTAATAAAATTTTCAAGAATACAGCTGGATTCAACGCTGAATCTGAGACTATATGATACTCCTGGGAACAAATCTCAATTTTAAAACTCTTTGAGAAACAAAATCTCTGATTGTAATTATCGCGCAAAGTCGCTGTTATCGTGAGAGTCTGTTCAAAGAATAAAATGTGCAAATAGACACTCGGTCTAAACTTATGGTAAGAGCAAAATAGGCAATGGATGGAATAACATTGAGTTTAAGATCGTCGTGGCATAGCTTCTACGTGATACACTTCTCAAAACTTTTCCGATAAAATTGAATTATCATAGAGACGATACGCGCGTTATTCTCACAACTGTATGTAAGATCGAAAAAGATTCTCCGCAATATTAAAAGCGTGTCGAGATGTTGACGGATCGCATGGTATTTGCGCAACAATCGGACGATGTGGGATGTGTATGCGGGACGTGTTCCAAAAAGATATATATATACATCGTAAAAAAAATGTATTTCTTAAATAATTTAGATCACAATTTGTGTAATGTATCATGATTGGTGACGAATTTGGTACCAAACATATATAAGTAATAACAGCGATTTAAAACTTGTATTTAATTTCGAAAAACGCTCAGCGAAGATTTCAATTAAATCGAAATAGCTGATAGATCGTAGAGATAGCCCTTGAGTTGAATCTTTCGTATAAGAAAGGAGAAATTCCAAATTCTTTTAAAAGATATGTGTAATCCTACATTATAGGTACGATATTTTAAGGATATTGTATGACATATAGTTGCGCAGATGTGAGATTTAAAGTAAAATATCTCCCTCCTTTATGATATTCGTATTACTGATAAGATTTTTCTATTATCTCTCCTCTCTCTTTCTCTCTTTCTCTCTTTCTCTCTTTCGCTCTCTCTCTCTCTTTCTCTGTCTTTTTCGCTCTCTCAGTTGACATTATATTTGTAGGCCGCGATTCATCTTTATTGTAAATCAATTGCAGCGTAATACAATGTGTTGTAACGAGATTGCAAGCAACGTAATGATGGCAAGAAACGATTGCAATTAAAAAATTATTTATTTAAGATTGTGCATACTACTGGCAAGAAATGCGCGTTGTGTTGTTTGATTTTGACGAATATTTCTAGTAGAGATGTAAACAGAAAAAAACAAAATTTTTTTTTATAAAAAACGGTTTTTTAATGAAAAAAACAAGCTTCATTTTTTTTCAAAATTTTGTTTTTTTAAGATATTTAATATCTTTATATTTTGATTATTGCAAATTGATTTTTCATTATTTTTAACTTTTTAGATGATATATTTGAATTAATCATTATTATTTTAAATGTAGCTTGGCTATATAATTATGTAATTACTATTTTTAATTAATAAGAATTTTTGTTATGTATTTAATTGAAAATTATCCGGATCATGTCGAGTTTGAAAAGTCTCATTAATCCATTAAAATTACTTTCGAAAAAAAATAATTTGAAAATATAAAAACTTTAGTTTTTTTATTGTTAACAAAAAAAATAATATTATATTTAAAAAAATAATGGAAAAAAAAATCTTTTTTTAAGCTATTTTTTTTATCAGAAAAAAATCGGTTTTTTTACATCTCTAACTTTTTGCATGATTATAAAAAAAATAGCAACCTTTTTTTCTTTCATTGAATCGATAAAATTTTCGATCTGTTTCTGGTATACATGATCACTGATTGTACTTGATGCTGAACACGGCTTACACGTCAATTGTTATTACTTAATTTTGCGCTGCCAATGATGCGCAGACTTTCATGAAAGTCATGTACATTTAGCCTACCGCGTTACCTTTACTAGTTTAACTTTTTAAGGTCCTCGGGATTAGTTCGTTAGATATTTATTTGATAACTATGTAATTAACATAAGTAATTTATATATTCGCTGTAGCTGCTACACATAAATGAATTTTAATCGAACCTTTATACGCGTATGCGCGGATAAGGATAATTAAAACAGAGGGCTAAATATATACTACTGTTGTGTACAAATTGTGAGATGGTGGATGTAAATGCAGTGTTAATTAAAAAAAAAAAAAAAAAAAAAAAAAAAACGGCCGATGCGACGACGGGAATGGAGCTTTGCGCTAATCAAAAATGACATAACGATGATAATCTTTCTACAATCTCCATTCGTATGTACACTTTTTGTACGCTTGCAAATTGTAGCGAACAATTGAAGTCGTATGTGGGGATGCGTTTTTTCTTCTGGTCTGTTAATCCTTGAAATTTTGTATCGCATGCATGAATAAACGAGACATTTCATTGCAAAGGGGCGAAACGAGACATGTAATAAAGTACCATTTAGAGCTTTATAAAACTCTCTCTTTCTTTCTCTTTCTCTTTAATCTATAATATTTGTAAAAATTCAACTGGTATTCTTGCATATATTCAAACTTTTGATATTTCTTTCTCGGATACAGATAAAACGCAAATAATAGATAACAGGTACATGTTGCATAAAAAATTTATCTGAACATGTAGCCTATCGCTAATGGTTACTTAAATATTTACTAAAATATGAGTAAGTAACAGAGTATCGACAAAGATACTAGAGTTGATAGTGAAATAATCTAATCGGTGATGATGATAAAAAATCGCAACAACGTCTTACTTATTGTTAGTCACTCGTGTAATTTAAAAGCGGAGATATTATTTCGTCGATATATATAGTGCCACAAGTGAATATACATATTAATACGACGCGCGGATATAATAATCATGATTCACCGCGTATATCATCACGAATTCTAAAAGTCGATTCATCTACTTCGATTTCTCTTTCATAATTTGTACCAAATGTATGCCGAGATAATATTAATCTTCCCTTGACAACGGAATGCAAAATTAATAAAACGATTATTTTCAAAGCATTGGCGTCAAGATAGCCTTGATCTCTGAAATATTCATTTATTTTGCGTATCCCGCAAAACTGGGACGAGTTCACCCATGGAAAGTGAATTTAACCGCGGCCTTGATAATATTAATCTTCCCTTGACAACGGAATGCAAAATTAATAAAACGATTATTTTCAAAGCATTGGCGTCAAGATAGCCTTGATCTCTGAAATATTCATTTCCGATAAATAAATAGTCATATCGCCTATAGTTACATCGTGGAGATTAGGAGACCGTATCCCGCAAAACTGGGACGAGTTCACCCATGGAAAGTGAATTTAACCGCGGCCTTGAATTAATGCAAAATGGTTGGCATAAGCGCGCAAGAAAACGCGACACGCGACTACGTCTGCCCGTGAAAGGAGAGTGCTACTTGCTATCGATGTTTTGCTAAGAACTAATACCGAGACACGATCATTGTAGCGATCTTACGGTTATCACGATGTGTATATTCAAACTCAAAATAAGTATCGAATTAACTTTCACATTGATGTATGCCGATTTCCCTTTTAGACAAGTGTCTTTCGCACGACACTGTGTGTTCGTGTGTGATGGATTAGCCTGATTAAATATAAATAAAGATTTTACATCCTTCTCTTCTCACACACACGTGAGATATATATAAATTTCAAATATATATATAATATAAAATATATTCTATTTTCTCTATAGAGGGAGAGGGTATCCCATATAGAAATATTGCACATCGATATTATCATATTCCTTGCCAAAAATAAACATCATTTTTTTCTTTAGAAAAATTTTCAAAACTCGAAAAATTTCTACAAATTTTCTACAAAAATTTGTTTGATTTTTCGTGTAAAGATGTTGATAATTCTGTTATAATTAAATCTAATATTTACATTACATGTAGATAGACATTAACGTGTATTTTGTCAAAGCGGAGAGACACACTTTGCTGTCATAAAAAAATTTGCCTTTTGTTAACTCAAATAAAACTTTTTCAGGTGTTTTATTATAAAAATTTATTTGATTAAAACAGAGTTACTAAGATTTCTTACACAAAAAATCAAGAAATAGCAAATGCACTATCTTGGCATATTAAAAAAATTAAAATATGGGACTTCTACTCTGTAGATGTATGTATAAAAAGTAAAATAGCTTGAAAATTATTTACACAGAGTGTCCCAAAATTAGATCGATAAACTTCAGGTGGTTATAAAGGACACCAAAACAAGCCAACTTTGTCAATAAACTCTTGTCCGCAAATGAGCCGTTTTGGCGTTAGATAATCAAAGACTAACAAGGGAATCTCGCGAACCTGAAAATTCTGATTTTGATGAAACTTTACACACATATAGGGAGGTTAAATAGATGAATTTAGAAATTTCCAGTTGCGGCCCAAAAACGATTCTAAGGGATGAAATCACCCCTCATATGTAGAGCGGCTTTTTGCTTTTCTCGATATATCTCGAAAATTATTCGAGATATCAAAAAATATTTTATACAAAAGTTTCATGATAAAAACCCCTCTATTTAACTACATTAATAAAACTTTGAAAAAATAATTTTTTTCAAAGATTTTTGCTCTTGTTAGTCTGTGATTCTCTAGTTTTAAAACGTCTCATTTGCGGACACAGGTTTATTGGCAAAATTGGCTTGTTTTCTTGTCCTTTATAACCATCTGAAGTTTGTCGGTCTAATTCTGGGACACTCTGTATACGCGATAAAAGGGAGAGGATAACGTGAAAGATCCAGAGATGGCCAGAGTATCACAGATTCAACGCGATACCGATGTGATCTTGACGTTCGATAGTTCTTATAAAGGCGGGTGACGAGTGTGCTTCTAGCTGATACCTTACCTACCGGCACTCTCTGTGACTCACCTACTCACCAGAGTCGAGTCGGGTCGGACATTCAGTCCGCGACGGACTACGAAGCCGTCGACATCGGGCGCATGTCCGTGTCATCGTGCTCGTCGCGGAGCTAGAGTGATACACAGTGATCATCATTCTCGGTGTGCGTCACGTGCGTTACGTGTGTCGACGACATGATTCGAGGAGGCTGAAAAGCACAGTTAAGAGATTCACTTAACGCGAAGACCGGTAGGACCTTCAATTTCGCGACGACATGGTAATTGAAAATTAAATAGCGAAATAGTACCCTTGACTTTTCAGGAAGTAAATATTCTTCTCGATCGAAAGTACCCGTATCTGAATATATTATTACACTTCTCTTGGCTAAATGAGTAATACAGAACTTATCATAAAAATCATGATTTTATAATATTACATTATATTATTCATCTGTTATTTATGCGTGATAATATATCCTATAATAATGCAAGAGTATAGTTAAATACAAAAAAAATTATATAATTATAATAATAATAATAAAAAGTCGAATTTTTTAATTACATTAAAATAAGTAATGTAATAAATCTCTATGTAATATCTTATATATCGCGTTTCGTCACAACGGACTTTTCTGAAATTTCAGCGAATCCTAATATAAATATGTTTTCTATCATATTCGACCTGACCTCGGAATAAACTTTAAATACTCAGCTCGGATTGTCTCATGCCGCTTTGACTCCTGGATCGTGAGTAATATAGTTTCTCTTGTGGTCGAATGACGTCAGAAATCTTTCCTTGTCAGGTTCTTCCTTCGACGAGTATATCTATTAAATTAGATTGATAATTATATAGAAAAATCTCGCCCTTGTTTATATTATTAGCCAATTAATTTTTACCATGAAAAGTGTATGTATGAAAACAAGAGAATATAATCATGTATATAAATAATATTTTATGTAAAATTGACCAATCTTGTGAAGAACGAATGACTAAGTAATAGGCTATTGCTTCTTTCTTTATTGTTCTTTGTCTCACGATTCTTGGTCGGGAAACGATTCATTTTCTCGCAGCTCAATGGCAAGAATGAAACGCTTTGACGTGTCGCACGTGATGTAGAAAACACATTCTTAAAACAAGCATGATTGATTATTTTCGCGTTTTAAAAAAAAAATGCGACCTTCCCGACGTTACGTTTCGTCAACTCGGGGAGAGAACATTGCGCAGACGACTTGGAATTAATCGAAAACCGATAATTATCTTATTTTACATCAAACGTCATCGGCATTAATCTCACACAAGGACTGTCGCTTATAAATTGTCCGCGAGGAGATACATGGAACGTCAATGACGTGTTTGATACAGATCGGTTGCGCGATCGTCTCCATGTGTGAAGTCCATTATTAATCATCAAAGCCCCAGATTTTTAAAATCACTGAGTCGCATCACTCACAGAAGTTATCGAAATATCAAAATTGTCTTAATAATATCTTTAAAAGTGATAAAAGAAATAATGGGGGATATTTAAAATCGATTTGTTCTTCCCGAAACTCCACATCGGTTTCCAACTAACTAATTTCGGTATCTCGGAGACTTTAACGGAAGATACAAAAATCGTGCAAATTAGAAACTTACATATTGCTTCCTCATCATTTTATTTCGCTCACAAAGCTCCTTTTTAGAGCAAGCGAGTTTTTCAATTTTGGCTTTCTCATAGAGAAAGCTTTGTGAGCGAAATAAAAAGATAAATCAAAATTTCTTAAAAAATAAACCCTTTCAATTCTCACCAAATTTAATACCAATCATCCTTTAATGATACTCTATTCAGTTAGAAAAATTTAACCCGATATTTCAAAATTTGCGGAAATTAGAGCGTGCGCAAACATTTTTCAAAAAATTCAAAATTTCGTAAAAAATAAACTCTTTCATAAATTTTCACCAAATTCAATACCAATCATCCTTTAATGATATTCTGTTCATTTAGAAAAATTTAGTCCAATATCTCAAAATTTATGGAAGTTGGAACGTGCACAGACATTTTTCAAAAAATACAAAATTTTATAAAAAATAAATCTTTTCACCGATCCTCATCAAATTCAATACCAACCATTCTTTAATGATACTCTATTCATTTAAAAAAATTTAGCCCAATATTTCAAAATTTGGAAATTAGAGATTTTCGGAAGTTAGAGCGTGCGCAGACACTTTTCAAAAAATTGAAACTAAACTTAAAATCTAAAACACTGTATGAATTTTTATAAAAAAATGACAGTAAATAAAAGTGTTATACTACTTTATTATGCCAAATTGCAACGCAGTAGCTCAAGCAATTTTTGAGTTAAGATGTTCGAATTTTCGGTTAATCTGTACATAACACACACACACACATACATACAAACATTTTAAAAAAAATGTGATTTTTCGATGTTTTGGAACATCCTGAACACATTGACATAGAAAACTGGAAAAAAAATTTTGTCGCGAAAACAATACTTCCTCTATAAGGAAGCAAAAATAGTTGACGCTGTGTTATATTTGTCAGAGAATTGCTAGGTAGCGATTCCCGATGCAACACACAGGTGTCCCGATCGCATCTTAATCAATTTACAAAACAGGATTATGACATTGCCTCACGTGCGCCCCTCACAATGACTCACGACGGACTTTAATAGGGTCATTGAACTAGTTCGCGCCTTTTTCTTTTCCTCTACGCGATGTTTCTCACTTTCCTGAGTAAGGTAGACATCTCGTCGGGAGAATCTCGTGGGCGATCTCTTCATTCAGCTTGAATGGTCAAAGAAACTACTGCGTGCCCAGCATACGCATAAGCTAGGCAAGTGTATCAGCTAAATATGTCGTCCATAATTACTTAGTTACGTTCCAAAGCCTTTTACAAAGACATTTCCCATACGATATATTTTTAAATGTTTATATTTAACATAAATATATTCGAAAAAAATCTAGTACATATTTTCTCTCAAAAATTATTGCTCGTTTATTATAATAGTTAGGAATATAGCCAAGAATCTGGATGCATTGAACGTACATTCAACTACTGTAAACGCGATTCCTCTTAATTTTCACGACAATTTCCGTGGAACGATATTATCCGACAGTTTTATCCATGAGGCAAAATTCTCTTCAATTGCAGCTATCTGAATAGACCATCGCGTCTATATGCGAGAAATCAGAGCGATAGTAGCGACGTAAATCAATCGTCACTGATGCGTATAATAATGTATCTTAAAGCCCTCCCCGATAAGGTATGCGTATCGGTGGGAACCCCCCTTTCTCTCTCGTACCTTCTGGGAACACCTCTACGGCCGTTATTACGCGCCGAGAATTTTACGGTTATGCACATTGCGTACACCGACCGATCTAATGGAACATCCTGTTAGAACGACTTGCTACGGTCTTTGGTGACGTTCCATCGCCCCGATGGATCGATAAGTACATTTATTTTAAAAGAGCGATGGGGAAAAGAATGTAAAATGTTTCAAAGAATTATCACGAGGGGCGACAAATCGATTTTTATATTCACTTGTAATCAGAGTTGCAAATAATTAAATGAATTTTTAATCTAATTCAGGAATAATTTATAAATCAATTTTTAATTACTGATTATACTAAGCTTTAATTCATAATTCAAATTTGATTCGTGAATTACACAGGTTTTAATTCATAATTCAAATTTGATTTGTGATTTAAAGCCAGTATAATTCACAAATCAAATTTGAATTATGAATTAAAGCCTATGTAACTCACAAATCAAATTTAAATTATGTATTAAAGCTTAATATAATTAATAATTAATAATTAATAATTAATAATTAAAAACTGATTTATGATTTATAAATTGTTTAATTATCAGTTTCGCAAACCTGCTTGTAATGCTAGAATGCAAAACTTATCTCTTCTTTTTTTATAATGATACCGCATTGCGCGATAATATAATTAGATCGACCATTTTAATTCGAATCAATTAGAGATGACATAATGTTGTAGCTCCATCTCTATCGATTGGAATAATCACCGATTTACGGCGGCGTTTGCAAAAGAGGAAGATCGTTATCGCAGAAAGTTAAGCAACGCCAACACGTCCTTATCAGGGACATGGGCAAACATAATCTAACGAGATGATAACACACGCGCGCGTCCTTGCATCGCGTGCTTATAATCGTGGCATTGTTAATTGCTTCGAAGGATGAGTGGTAACAAGGCCGAAAGAGAGAGAGAGAGATAGATAGAGAAGACGCGTATCGAGCCCTTCCCGTGCACGAAATAGCGTCTTATTGTCCGAGGAATTGCAAGTTGGCGTATTCTAACGCAACTCCGCATGTTTTCCGCAATGCCATGAGATAATTCTTCTGAGAAAATTCCAGGGTGTATCATTCTCTATCAACGGACGTCCCCACCTGCCGTGAGTCACGAGATTACTTCTCAGAGACTATTTTTAATGAGTAGATCTAACGCTCTCAACTCTCGAGTCTTCGCTAGAAGAGACATTTTCTTTCATACGTCAGCATGGGTTACTTGAAAATCTTTGTCAAATTTCTGATGGATAAACTTTGAAATTTTAATCTGAAATGTCAAAATTAAATTTAAAAAATCACTGTACTATTATATTTATAAATGTTTCGTGATACACTCTGATCATATCGATTATCCGATTTTGTTGGCTTATCGATAACAGGAGGTTGTCTTATCATTTGGCTGACAATGAGCAATTTCCTGCGTAGACAAATATGCTTAAACGTCGCTAAACGGATCAACAAAGTGTGATGAAATAAAAATCGATGAGAAACAATGCAACATTTCAGTCAAAAGAAATATATAGGGTGTCCCAGAATTAGACCGACAAACTTCAGATAGTTATAAAGGACACCAAAACAAGCCAATTTTGCCAATAAATCCGTGTCCGCAAATAAACTCTCTTGGCACTAAAAAATTATTTTTTCAACATTTTATTAATGTGGTTAAATTGGGGGGGGGGGGGGTTTACCATGAAACTTTTGTATAAAACATTTTTGGATATCTGGAATAATTTTCGATAAAAGCAAAAAGCCGATCTACATATTAAGAGTGATTCCACTTCTTAGAATCATTTTTGGACCGCAACAGGAAATTTCTAAATTCATCTATTTATCCCCCCCCCATGTGTGTAAAGTTTCATAAAAATCAGAATTTTCGGATTCGCGAGGTTCCCTTATTAGTCTTTGACTCTCTAGTGCCAAAACGAATGATTTGCGTACATTTTATTGGCAAAATTGGCTTGTTTTGGT